TCGACAGCATAGAAAGAAAGCATCTCACCGAATGAACGAAGGACTATAGAATCCTGCAGAGAATTAAACTGATATTTGAGAAATGAAGCACTTCAATAATATCAAATGAGATCTGTTCTGTCCATAAAACTTTAGTCACATTCTCAGTGTAAATTCATTCTTCTAATTTTCTAAAATACGGGCATAACATATGAATGTGGCTACATCTCTTCATTCGGTGAATATGGACGTTTTCATTCAAATTTAAACGGTAAGCATGTACAGTTTCGAACATTCTAGTGTAACTGTTTATATTTTTGTCGAACTTTTTGAAAAAAAGGACTTGTTTGCCGAAGAAATTATGACAAAAAGTCACTTAAGGATACTCAGAAATCATATTTTGAAAGATACATAATTTGTACATATTATGACAGGTGTAGTAGGGAGCATTGTCTCAACCACAGGAGGAACGGACGAGGATGTCAAATCGAGAATCGGGAAGGCGAGAAACACATTCATCAAACTGAAACCAATCTGGAAATCTTCGTCACTCAGCAACACTCAACAACAAAATTCGGATTTTCAATACAAACGTCAAGTCAGTCAGTTCTTCTATACGGATCAGAAACTTGGCGGGTCACAAAGAATATTTCCAACAGCCTGTTTCAGACCTTTATCAACAGCTGTCTTCGTTCTATACTGAAGATCAGATGGCCGAAAAGAACAAGAACCAACAAGAAACTATGGGAACAAACAAAACAAGAACCAATCACCCAACAAATATGCAGGAGAAAGTGGAGATGGATTGGACACTCGCTGAGGAGGCCGCTGGGTGACATCGCGCGTCAGACCAGCGCTCGAGTGGAACCCGAAAGGGAAGCGGCGAGTGGGACGTCCAAGGGTGACATGGAGGAGATCGTGTGAAGAGGAGCTGAAACAGTATGGATTAACATGGACGTAGGTGAAAAGTACAGCAGAAGACAGAAGCAAGTGGAGACGTGTAGTTGAAGTCCTATGTTCCACTAGGAACCCAAGGGAACAATAATAATAATAATAATGACAGGTGTAGAGACTTACAATACTTTTCCTTTATCAGCTGTGATAGATACTGAAATCTATTTATGCACGTTTCCGTTCTCTCGGGGCATTTTCAGGTAAAACAACAATACTTTTTTATTCCGTTTACGTTCCCAGTGGAACATTGGGCTTCAAGCTAGAGGCTTGAATTTCCGGTAGCAGTGGTGCTTATTTTTATGGGATAGGGTTGCTAGCCTCATACCCAACCCTCCGTCTTTACCGAGCTTATTACCAGCTTAGAGAGGTAAAGGAGTGCGTCGGCCGAGGACCGAACCCCGGACCACATTTGTGGCTGGAGAGCATTTTACCACTGTGCCATGGACACACGCAATAATGTGACATTAACCTTCTTCAGCTTATATCATTGGTCTCAACCTTGTCTGAGTTAACCAAATTACATATGATCTTTAATAACTTGTTATAGGAAGTCAAACACTTACACAGTGAGGATGACATGGAGGAGATCGTGCTAGGATTCCCTCAAATATGAAAATACAGTAAACCAACAGTTTGAAGAGGGAATATTACTATTTATAAATGTATATGCTTGTGAAAACAGACCACCCACAATGAGATTACAAGTGGTTCTATTAAAGAAATACCACACTGAATTGTTGAAAAAAAAATGTCTATCGCATAATCTACACAAACGCACATCTGTCAATCTGACCCAGATTTGGACGGCTGTGATATCCACCACCACAACTTGTGTTACTCAAAGAATAAAGTCATTTAATTTCCTTCAGTGCTTAAAATTGACCGATGAAAAGATGCAGCTATTGTACCTGAAGAATAGCTGTAGAAAATAACAATCTCTCCTATAACTTTCAACCCTAGAATTTTATGTGCGCGTGTATACAACTGTTTTCGTTTTGTTAACCTGGATATCAGTGAAGACTGGCTAGTTATTTTACCCCACGATAGAATTCATCTACAGCTGACAAACAATCACCTCGTCAACATTACATACTTTACTAATATCCATTAAAGCACGGAAAGAAGGTATTCGACAACGAACTCGATTTTAAACATAGAACTTTGAACCGAAAGGGAAACACTTCGAGTTGCCATACTTGATAAAAGGATAAACAAAAGTAGAGGAAAATGCAAAGAAGCTCTAATGAATGGAAGAGTAATTACGCGAAGAATAATGAGAATTTAATAAGTCTGAAAGATCACTAGGAGAATGATTTTCAGTTGTGTCACCGATAGTCCCCAGAAATTGATTCCCAGCGTCCTGCGGACCCCAGCTAGGTGGTCTACTCCCCCCCTATGTGACTCAAACCAACGGTCAGTAACTTCATGAATTAATGTCATGTTTCAGTTTAACCACTCCCAATCCTTTCCTGACCTAATCTTTCATCAACCAAAACTGCTCAGTGAAAAAGGTGGTGGTGGCTTGACATGCGTAACGTATATATCCTGACCATCTCAATCGATGCAATTCCACAATCTCAAGTACTGATTTTCCTGCCTTATCTCACATTCTAAACCTAACCTCATTATTAGTGAATATATATATATATATATATTTCACCACAAAATGTGAGAAACAGAACGCCAACGCATGTGGTCGAAGACGATGAGTAGTCAACCGACTACAACATTCTGAAAAATCTATAAGACAGCATTTTTCGTGTCTCTTTTTTAGAAAAAAAAAACAGAAAGGCACAATACAATCAGGACCCTTTATTTTATAATCATTATAATGTAACATATTCAAAGAATAACGAAAGCAAAAGTTCATGAATACTTGAATGACATTAAAGTCCTTAAACAGTGAAATTATAAGTATCACAAAAGAAAGAAAAATGAACTGAATAGGATAATAATAATAATAGTAATGCTTGCATAGGTAATAATAATAACAATGTATTTTTATTTTCTTTTTAACTTAAAACTCCTTACTTCAATCCTATTTTTCAATAAAATTGTAATGAAAAGTGGTTAGGAAAAAGTAAGAACAGACTTTTAAAGAGTTGAAAAGAGACACGGGGAAACAGGAGGAAGCGGGAGAAAAACGTATATTCAGACGAAACCACAAAACGTAGATAACCAAAAAAATATGAAATGCAATACTAGTAGTAACCAAGGTGTTTTCGGAAGAAAATATACAGGAAAAAAGAAGACTACCCAGAGAAAAAAGCTAATTTTTTTCCCCTGTTTTATAATAAAAGTGCTAGAAGTACACTTTGAGAGAGAGAGAGAAAACAAACAACCAAAGCAGAAACAGACAGAAAAAAGTCTTCAATGACAATAATAATAAGAAGTATACTAACAACACTGTCTATACTGATAGTGTATACTAAGCTTCTTTTCTTTTATAATCAATTTCATGCATGCTGCTGGAAACAAGGGTAAGGAGAGAGAGAAGGCAGAACAACGAAGTAGTTAGACAAGAAAGAAGAAAAATTAGATCAGAGAATATCCAGTTGTTTCCCATCGACAGTAAGTTACATATTTATAAGCCTACATTATCATTTGCAACACAGTAATCTTATGAAACTAAAATAATAGTAATAACAGGAATAATCACTCTTGAACAGGGAGTAAATAAGAGCAGAGGACAATAAAAACCGGTATCATAGAGAGAGAGTCAAAGATATTCCTTCTTTGCAATGTTTTCCTAACTGCTATGACTATTTTTCATGCGTTGAAACACATCCGCACACACACACACAGAGTCAGGAAACTGACTAATATATAACAGCACTGATTCCAAACATACACAATATGATAAGAAAGATATCAGACTACTTACTGTAAACAAACAAAAAGAATGAATAATAGGACATGTGTGAATGTACTTGATAAACACACAAACACGGAGACACACATGAAGACTGGGGTATAATACATACACACACATGGACATAAGTAGAGACAAAAAGAGAAGCAACAAGACACGAAAAGCAAGATAACTAAAAAAAGTAATAATAGTAAATGGAAAAAACACATGACAAAAATCTAGAAATGTAGACAGTTAATTAAATAATTAATTAATTCACATGTTTTCTTCTACTTTAGCCCGCGCCCACACCCCCCGCACCTCCATATACGTATGTATGAGAGTAACCACCAGTATGTAAAATTAAATCCGGAATTAAATGTTTTGTTGCTACCACCTCTGTATATTTTCTTCTTTAGGCGTTTGCCATGTTTTCGCTGTGTTTTTTTTAATTCCAAAAAGTATCAATATATATCCTACTTTTCTACATTTCAAACTGACAAAAATTTTTATTACATAAAATCCATAAAAAAGAGAGAAAAAAGAAGGCGAGGAAGTCGGTTGAATTATTACACATAAATTTGAAAAAAATAGTAAGCAAGGAACTCAGTTATACATTTGCAAAAAAGAGGAGAGAGAGAGAGAGAATTCTTTTCTCGGCAAATCTGAAAAATAATGACACCCAGTTTTAATAGCAACAATTAATTATGTTATGATGATAATGACGATGGTGTGTATAATGAATAAAATGCAGTTTAAGTGAAAGAGGAGAAGTGAATGATGAATATGGTGAAGGAAACACCTACACACACTCGCACAGACGGACGGACCGATGAACTTCCTGATTAAAATCTCTCTTTTTACACTTTCGAAAAGAGTTACACCATCCACCGGCTAATACAAGTGTTCATCCAACAAGAATAACAAAAGAAAAAAAAAGTGAAATTCTTACACTGAAAGTGAGATGGCGACACACAAAAGATGAATGAACTTTATATATATATACGGCATAAAATGACAGATGAACTAAAACATACAGTAATGGAATGATAAGGACTTTTTTTTTACTTTTTTTATTGGTTTTTACGATTTTAGTTTTTGATTAACCAAGAAAAGTTATATGATTTAATTAATGATAATAGTAAAGACCCAATAAACAGAAAGGAGACACCTTTTTTTCATCAAAAACAACTGATCACTACTACTCTCCTTCGAGTTAACAATTACGAATAGACGCTGCACGAAGAGCTGCAAAAGGGAAAAGAGAAAGAAAAGAATGACTCGAAATGTATTTCTATTAAATATATGATTAGTGGAAGTCAGCATGCATGTGTAGATACGTAAGTATACTGGTAAATCTAGCCATTGATGATATCTGTTGAAATCAATATCTTAATGTTCGTTTCTTTTTTGACTGGTTTTACTGCACTAAAATGTCCAATCTCTCTGTTGTCGTATCAGCTCCTGTTACGAATGACGATTTGATGATGCCTTAAGGCTTACATGTGGTGTTATCTAGTTGACAGTGTGGCTAGCTTTGCTGTCTAAAACAATGGGTGTAGGCGCAACCAGATGACCAGTCTCCCTAAATACGACGAAACGCTGTTCATCTTGTATTTCCCTGCTAACTAACCCACCAACTAAACATGATTCAGAATAGTTTAATGGTATTGATTCCTTTTCATCTGATTCGGTAATTCCGATCAGTCCAGTCCAGAGTGATTGATCAGTAAAATTTAAATCGCGATATAAATATATCTGGGAAACTTAAGCGACTAAATTTTTATTCTCTGCCGAAGGCCTACACAGCGTGTGGCACACAAGTATGCCGGCAATTTTCGCCGGATGTTTCGAAGGAAACCAGTTATCGATAATATCAACAGTACTACCACCAATTCAAAGCTTACCTTCTAGTCTGGTATGAAATAGTATCGCTTTATTCCCATTAGACAAGATACAAGCAATTACAGAGGAGTTGTTTAAATTCCAAGTCAAGAATAAAAGTAAGCAATTCACACAAAAAAATCAGACAGGCAAACCATGGTCCCATGCATACATATATACATATACAAACGTCAAACGATATTTTCGTCTAGCATTCCTACGACAAATATTATTTGTTTACATGAAAATCCCTTATCAAAATTCAAGTGGAATCAAAGCAAAACTGACGTCATTATTAAAATAACATTACCGAAAAAAATATCACAAAACATTTAAGGAATAACAAGTTACCAGTGCGACACGAAATATAATTCCCGAAATAGGTGGAAAACATACAAAATAGTGCAATACGGGAAATAGTAATGGTATATGATTAATTCAAGTTATTTGAAGACTCCCAGTTACATATTTAGGAGAGACAACAAATTGAACGAAGAAATATATACATATTCCTTCTCAATTGGTTCCTTATCATCGGCTCTACAATAATATATAACTTCTTCACATCAAAATATGTTACCAATCATGTGGTTGTGAAAGTTAATGTCAGCAAAAAGTTTGTGCATTGTGCAACAGATCAAATTAATCATAATTATACTTCAGAAGTTTACACGTAATGATAAGTTTTTTGTTTTGGTAATAATTCAAGTATAGATGGAGGATTTTATCATGAGCTGACATCACTTAGAGAACCACTAAAAAACCTGGAAGTTCTGGACAGCTATTTCGTCAGCCTTATTTGGGACTCCGCCTCAGCAGTACGCACCCACCGGGGTTCAAACCCTGGTTCTCCAATGGTTCTCTAACTGTTGTCAGCTCATGATGAAATCCTCCATCCAATCAAACAAAATCCCTAGAAAACCAATACTTGAAAATTCGAGTATCAATACTGCCCGTGATCGCATCCACTGTTGTCAAATAAGCACTATCGGTTAAAGATATAGGAGGGGAGGGATGAAAAATAAAAGATTAAAAATCACTAAAACAATTAACTAATAGATGTCAACAACAAAATAACTGAGTTTTCAAGGAGAGGAGGGGCGAAATAATTACAGAATTCAAGATCAGTTCATTCGAGAAATGGAGAAATTTAGAAAATAATGATGGCTAAGTAGAACTACGTAAGAATATCAAAACACAAACAATGTCTGAAAGGAGCATTCACAATGACTTTTAACTCAGCTAGGTTATGCTGTTTATTCACTACACCACCAATAATCATTTCAAAAGTAGAGACAAACTGCCTTGCTTCACCTTTTCCATGTGTATTTACCAGTTTAACTGCTTCTGTAGAGCCTACTTACATTGAACGCACAATCAAGAAAGTTCGTCGTTGAATTTCTGAACACCTCCTCCCCATCTTGTTTTGCCAAATGTCAGAATAAAGCCATACACAACTCAACACTAGCTCATCTCGTCTATACTGGACATCAAGTCGACTCTAACAAAGCTTTTAAAGTTATTTATAGTATATCACCCAACCTCTAGCATGTTTTACGAAAACAATTTTTACGTACAGCAGAGACAATCAGAATTCATTTAAACAAAGCAAAGCTGAGTGTTCTAAAGGAGTTTGTGCAACCCCTTTCACTGCCGTGGTCAACTATATAATATGCATTCAGGTTTACAAACGGTTTCCTCCTCCCCTTGTAACTACCTTTTGACGTTGTTATTTCATTGTGATTACAATTCTAGCTAACTCAGTCAACGTCTTTCTATCTTGATATCCTTACGTAATTCCACTTAGTCATTCTATTTCTAGCAATTAGAAAGTCTAAACCACCTTAATGCGTTCAGAAACAATTCGTCATTACATTAAACCTTTTTTGGTAAATTTTGTTTTGATACCAGTCAGGGCAGATGTACTATTACCTCTGCTGTTTGGTTTAGTGGTCTTCATTGTTATTTTGACCTTCAATATGTACTAGTTAATTGTTTTGATGATTTCTAATCTCCTGTTTTCACCGCCAACCCACATAACTAACAACTGGTGATTCTTATTGACTGAATTAACCACATAATTGGCACAATTTTGATATATATTTTTGCAGAGTCGATAATAAGGAATTAATTAATTGAGAAGGAATATATTTCTTCGCTAAATTAGTTGTGCATTCAAGTTAGTCAAATATACAAAAAAATCTATCATTCTGTAAATATGAAATTACCTTCGATTACTTCATTCTTTAATTGCTGAACTTCTCGACGGAATTCCGATATCAGTTCACGTTTAAATCCTTCTAGGTCAGCACGAGTCACTGTATTACTGTTACTAGGGTTTGAACTAGAATTAGACAAGAAATTCAATGCTGAAGAATCTATAGCTGGATTGGAAGTCTTACGTCTAAAAATTTAAGACAAAAAGTAAAGACAAACAAAAAGATTAACTGTTGTTACGTGACTTAACTTCTAAATTGTACAATTAGGGAAACGAGGATTCAGAAGTAAACACTTCAATCAATGCCCCAAACTGTTAGAATATGATTAGCAGATTGTATCCATAACCTTGTGGGAGTATATATACAGTCTACTTGAAATTTAAAACCATGTTTTTATCAGTGTTATGCTTGAGGATATTACTAGTTAACATGAACAATTGCGTCGGTGGCACAGTGGTAGAATGCTCGTCAACCACCCAGGTGGTTCGGGGTTCGATTCCTGGCCAATGCACTCCTTTACCTCACTAAGCCAGGAATAAGACTGGTAAAGAAGGAAGGTTGGGCGCACCGCTGTTCCACTGGGAACGTAAAGAAGTAAAATAAAAATATGAACAACTGTAGAAACAGAATATGTATGCATTATCCGGTGAATAAATGAAAGTAACGTCAGTATTTCTTTATATTGTGCTAATGGATGCCATTTCGATTGAAAAATATCATATGGTCGAGAACAGCTCAGTGGATAACGCCCATATAACTACAGTACTGGGTAAATATTATTTACTATTGTTTCCTTTAATTCCTAGAGGAACATAGGGCTGAAGCCACACGTCTCCATTGCGTTAGTTTCTCTACCAACGTTTTCATCTGGCTCCAGGTATGCTCACACGTTTTCATCTCCTCTTGACATGACCTCCTCCAAGTCACACTTGGACGACCAACTCGCCACTTCCCATTCGGGTTCCACTCGAGGGCCTGTCTTGTGATATCACTTGATGGTTTTCTCAGAGTATGACCAATCCACCTCCATTTCTTCCTGCTTATTTGTTGCACGATTGGTTCCTGGTTGGTTCGCTCCCAGAGGTCCATCACTGTTGCTGATCTTTTCTGGCCGGCCATCTGATCTTGAGTAGTATTGAGCAAAGACAGGAGTTGATGAAAGTCTGTAGTTTGTTTGAGGTGCTCCTCATGACGCGCAGTGCAAGTCTCTGATCCATATAGTAGCACTGGCTCCACATTGGAGTTGAAAATCCGGATCTTACTTTTCATGCTGTGCTGTTGACCTCCACACAGACTTGAGAGTAATGAAAGCTTGTCTTGCTTTTCTGATTCTTGCTTTGATATCCTCGTCAGTTCCGCCGGCCTGTAGTTGAAACGATGCTTCCAAGGTAGGTAAAAAAAAGGTTGTTTCTTTCAGGTTCCTTCCATTTATGCTGATTGTTGTCTGTTGTTGTTGTTGCTGTTGTTGTTCTTGTCCAGGAATCTTCATCACCTCTGTTTTATCTATGTTCACCTGAAGGTCTATCTTCTCTGGATGCTTCTTCTGCCAACTTGTTGCTTTTCGCTTGCATATCTTCCAGTTTGTGGGAAATCAGACATATATCATCGGCGAAGTCCAGATCCTCCAAGTTTTTTGTGTGAGTTCATTTTATGCCTGTTTCCTCATTGCCCGCTGTTTGTCGCATTATCCAATCTACTGCAATCAGGAAAATCATTGGCGATAGTAGGCAGTCAGCTTGTCTTACTCCTGTCCTCACTTCGAAGGGTTCCGTAAGTTTCCCGTTGTGGATTACTTGGAATGCAGCATTGTCGCACAGCTTTTGGATGAGATGTATAATTGTCGGTGGCACCCCGTAGTAGCGAAGTAGTTGCCAAAGCACCTCTCGATTGATGCTGTCAAAGGCCTTTTCAAAGTCGATGAAGTTGAGATAGAGAGGTGACTACCATTCCAAGCTTTGTTCAATGATGATCCGTAATGTGGCCATCTGATCAATACATGACTTGTTTCTCCTGGGTAAAACGGATCCCAATCATTCGAGACAGAATCAATCCCTACAATGTTGTAAATATGCCTTGTTAACGAGCATGAAAACTAGTGCAGGAACTCTGATCGATTGTCTCCAACCATGTACTAACCAATCTTGAATATATTAATCAACTATATATGTATTTGAAGTTTACTGGAGTCATATCTAAGCTAGACACACCTAGTTAACTTGAAAAAAAAAAAACAGGAAACACATTATTCAACGGTTTTACTTAGACATAAATAACAGAATAATATGTACACCTTAATACACTTACAGTGTAGCATAACCAGGTACAATTGATGGACTATTGGATAAGGAATTTTGGTGTTGAAATGCATTCGTTGTTACAGAATGTGAACGAACCGGAGAAGTGATATTACTTGATGATTGTGAAGTAGCGGGTAGATCTCCACCTGCTCCGTTAAGTCCATTATTATTACAGTAATTATTATTATTACTGTTAGCACCAGTCACTGTTGTTGTGGTTGTTGCTGGTGTACTTGCTGCTGTGGTGGTATTAACACCACTAGTATTCAATTCCTAAAAATATAGATGAAAAATAGTGTTTTTTTTATCATTTCACTTTGAAACAAAAATTGAATATTATTACTTCTGTATCAATGAAGGTTGTGACACATTAAGTACTGATCCCATATCCCATTGTATCTACAAGTTGGCCTACAGTTGTGGGGACATATATATCGATAGAAGTAATAGAATGTTCCAGTGTCGTAGGGAAGAATATGTGCCTTAGCGGTGGTTGAATTGAATAAAAATGAAATTGAAATTCGATCAATCTTAACACAAACCAATGTATCATCAATCAAAAAAAATATATGCATCAATGTCCCGGTCATAAAAGCAATACACATGATCACTTCTCAATCACTTAACATTAACATAATAGTATTTTGAGGTCATAAAACATAATGGAAGCAGTCTACATTAATCTCATATGCGCCCTAATTATGTTTACAGAACAACAATAACGGAATTCAATCTTCGCCCAATCTTGACTACTTGACCTGTGGCATAAATGAATGACTATATCTTTTCTTTTCTTTTTATCTCATATATAGTTAACATACTGTCAAACGTTTTATTCTTATCAATTAGGGTAAATGTGACATGGTTTGCAGAGAAACTACAGAGTCGTGTCGTCTCTTGATATTTATTTAAACCTTTTCAAGCGATAAGTTCATTATTCCTTAAGAAGAAAAGAATACTCAAGATATTTGCTATCACGCATAAACAAATCATTATTTAGTTAGCATAAACGTCTACATATATAATCAAACTAATTTAATCTAATCTGACTAGTACTTCGAAGTATGAATAATTAAAACATAAAGTTAGATAAAAAAAAAAGGGGACAGAACGATGAATAATCTCCTCTTAAATCAAATCGTCATTTTAAAACGTAAGTTGAAGCATGCAATGAACGAAACAACTTCTTATTGTCGATATGTCGATGCACACATTTCTAATGTGCAACAATCAAAGTCATGCTTCCTACCTGCTCAGATTATTCACCGACGCACATACAAATATTGAATACACTATGAAATATGAAAGTTCCATTTCCTCGACATTTCCAGGCAACGCCTAGAAGATGGTAGTCTCCAGAGGTCAATTTACTGAAAGTCTACATGGAATGGACATTACCTACATTTTAATAGTTTTAGCCCGAATAGCTTTAAACGAGCACTAGCCAAGACTCTATACTGTACAGCTAGGAGAATATGCTCTACAGAGAAATTAAACAAAAAATTTATGTTTCTCGAAAAGATGTTGAAAAGCAACGATCACCCCAAAAGATTCCTTAACAAGTACGCAAGATCTGAATACTCAAACGTCAAGCAAGTCACAGTGTGAAAAAAACACCCATCTTCATCCAACTTGATTTTGTAGGGAATTCCCTACAAAACCAATACTTGAAAATTAATCTGATGCTCACTAGCGACTGGCCCTATTCAGGCAGTTAACCTAGGGTTCTAGTGGGAAGTCGTGACCAGTAGGGTAGAGAAGGTTGAAGGTGAGGCAGTAACTCATCGAAGAAGACATTGCAGAGTGGTCGTGCTATGTAATGAATTGGCAGAAGTTACAATTCATGCACTGACTGGCTATTGCATCGGGTCCCATTGGCTTAATGATCTACCAGCTAGCTCGCCTTGTAACCAGAAGGCCCTGGGTTCGAACCCTGTCGGTGGGTGCGCACTGCTGAGGCGGAGTCCCAAACTAGGACGAAACAGTTGTCTGTCCAGTACTCCCAGCTGGTTTTCCAATGGTTCTCTAACCAATGTCAGCTCATGATGAAATCCTCCAACCAGTCAAATAAATATGTGTTGACCCGAACTATTGAGTGATTTAGAAAGGGAAATAATAAAAGACAAAAATTCGTACTCTTCCCTTACAATAGTTTTCGTCACTGACTGATTCTTTAACGGCTAGAAGTAAAAGAAGATCGGAAAACACATATGGAATAAATCTACACTTATTTCATGAGATGTTATTTTATTTCAAAGCAATCTTTTATGCTTTATTTATCCGCATATATAATTAGTTGTCGCTTGGAAATAACAGACTTTTAAAAAAAGAACGTAGAACGTCAAATGGAGGGAGACGCAGAAAGAAGGAAGGGAGAAAGGAATTAAAACTAAGGCATTAAGTTGATCCCATAAGAAAAACATTTACAAACCAGAGTTGACGATGATTGACTATTCAACACATAAAACTTTAAGTAAAGATGAAATCTTCTGCAGAACACATGATTCTCTTCATTACTTATCTCATCCTCTACAAGTTTCTGTAATATTTATTTGCCCATTGTAGAAGAAAGTGTAACAACTAGTTAGTGAACCGAATGAAAAATCAATAACTTAAAGAGGCATTTCAAACATGCTGCGAGTAAACTTTTAGTGCAGTGAAACAAATGATGTCCTAAAAAAAGTAACAAAGACAGACTAGGTACTTTTTATAAAAAGTAGCAAGGTATAGTAACAAATATTCGCAGATAATTTCTGAATAAATGCGAATTCTATGTAACCACCTTTCACTTTCTAGTGAAAGAAAATCAAATTCAAACTTGGATTACAAAAAATGCCTAAAATGCAGAGAGAAGCAAAGTAATAAAAAAGTATAAACTTAAGGGAAAAAACCGTGTTAGTCAATTATTTGAATTCCAAAGATGACGCAATGTAATGTCTCTTCGTTTGTTTATGCTGATATATATATATATATATATATATATATATATATATACTTTACCGGTTCACATGCACAACTGCATTTGTTTGAACAAAGTTGACATTTCTAGGCAAAAAGCGCGAATTATGAAAGAAAAAAAGAAATAACTTCGGAATACAGCTTTTTTTATTTCTAAAAAGATGTACGCGTTGTCATTAGAAGTCGGCTTGCACAAACAAATACTAGCGTCAAAGTAATGCCGAATAGAAGCAACAATTGGAATGGTTTCTTTTAATTAGAACTTTAGCCTAACTGAGTACAGTTGTAAACTTTGGAAGTAAAATTACTAAGTGAAGCATTTTTTTTTCTCCCTTCACGTTCTCCAGTGGAACATAGGGCTTCAAGCTAGTGGCTTGAAGTTTCTGTAGCAGTGTTTATTTTACAGGATGGGGTTGCTAGCCTCATGCCCAACCTTTCCTCTTCACCAGCATTATTTCTGGCTTAGCGAGGTAAAGGAGTGCGTCGGCCGGGGATCGAACCCCGGACCATATGCATGGTCGGCGAGAGTCCTAACCGCTGTACCACCGACGCAAGTGAAGCATTAGACGATTACCTTCTTTTTTACGCTTTACGATTTTACACACCTATATACCCTTACAGTTGTAAGGATCTAATAAGTACCAGCATAACTTAACGAATCTAGTGGGTTTTTTTTTCGTTCAGACAGTTGATTTTTTTTCTCTATTTGAGAAACAAGATTGAGCCTCAACTGCCCACCTTCTCACGAACCTGGATATACCGAAGAAACAACTAGTTGAAATCTAAAAGAGTTACAATGAATGAAGTTCTTTGAAGGTATTTATCGAAGGCAATTTGAAGAACGTTTCATACTGAATCACCTTCTCTGAGCTTACTTTTATTCACTGAAACGCCGAAAACAAGATGCCACCGCTGACAACTTCAGTGATCAATTGCACCTATGGAGTTCAGTACATAGGACATTATCTAAACACACCGACTAGCATCTACCAAAATGGTTGTTATAAAAGCAAACATAGAATATTTAGATCATTTCTGGAGCGCATTATCACTTTCTGGTCATGCAGAATCAGCAGTGATGCCATTCAGAACTACAACATATATACAGCGAAATCAAGGCGCTCAAAAGGGTTTCGCTGACTTCCTATTAACGAAGACAAAACTCTTGTGATCCAGAAGAAAAAGCCCAAGCACTGTGTTCAAATAAACGTTTTCTTCAGACTCTTCTACTACCATGGTATTAGTGTCAACTTTACTTTCCCTTTTGTTGCATAATAAACTGTGCTGTTGTTTTTTTCATTCTTTTGACCCCCTCTCAGTTTTTTGTCCTCTTGTCTCTTATCGATTATTTTTAAATGAACATTCATCACTTAACAAACTAGTTGTCGACCCTCTTAATTACGTAGGATGATTATTCACTATTTTTCCAGACATTGTTATTTCACATACACACTTTGATTCATTTTGCTACTAACTGACACTAACCTCTGACCTTTGTTGTAATTAGCACTACACAATATAAATCCCTAGATAACTGTACAGCTTTGAAATGAAGTTACGAAAAGATATCCGTTTAGCTGACTGATGGCGTCATTAATTCACATCACATCAAATCACATGGGAATTAGGAAATAAATTTCTTAAGAAAGAAAGTAAAGAAATTGTAGATTTAAGTAACCTGCAACTCTCATAGAAATTGATTTTTTTTAATCAAAAAATGCGTTCTGTCTACGATGATACTACAACCACTAGCTTACTAACCAACCAACAGAATAACAATAACTATTTGAGGGAAAAAAAGGAACAAAATAATCCCAGCTTGATAGAAGTTTTCCAAAACATCAAATCAATAAGGAGCATTTTTTAATGATAAAAATAACGTTAAATTCGAAAAATAAACCGCCTTATACTGTTGTAGTCTAAAACAGCTAAAGGAATTTATTCCAATGAACTTAAAGCAAAACATTATGATGTGAACGGACATAAGACACAACAACAACAACTTAAGCAGTGGAAATTTTAGCTCAATGAGATATCTTTTTAACAAAAATGCGGATACATCTGCATCAGAAGGTTGAGAAAAGATTTTTTTCTTAGTTAAGTTACAGGTCAATTTTTACAATCGGTAAATATTCATCTGACATGTGAAGGAAAAAAAACTACAGATTTGGGCCACTTCAATGTCTGTTTATAAGTTCACTCGCTCCTGTGGAGCTGGGTATCTTGGTCGTACAAAGTGCGCACTTTTCAAACGCACCTCTGAACATTATTCAGCATGGTTATTAATAGTACAATACAAAACAATTACTCGAGCA